CCTCATTCTTAGAATACACCAGGATATCATTTATGAGATAATCACTAACTTATCTAGATACGGTTGAAAAATTATGTTCATCAATTCCATGAAATAGGCAGGCGCATTGGTCAAACAAAAGGCATTACAGGAAATTCGTACAACCATACCTAGTCCAAAAGCCGTAAGTGGTATACTTTCCTTTGATACACCCATCTAATGCTAACCCGTTCTGAGATCAAATTGGAGAACATGGCTACCCCATTCAATTGATCAAACAAGTCTCAATTCTAGGTAGTAGATACTTGTTCTTGATAGTCACCTTGTTCAGCTCTCTGTAATCTATGCACATGCAGAGAGTGCCATCTTCTTGGAGACAAAGATCACGGGTGCTCCCCACGAGGAGTTACTTGAATGAATGAACCCTTTCTGAAGCATCTCTTCAGCACTTCTTCATCTCCACAAGCTCTTTGGGCGCCATTCTGTATGCTGCCTAGAAATTGGTGCAGTTCCCAGCACTAAGTCAATGCGAAATTCTAATACCCGTCGAGGAGGAGGTCCAGGTATCTCCTGGAATACATCCTCAACTCACACACCACATCTACCTCACTAATATCTTGCCTAGGGATTTCTACCGAGCATAGAAAACTCGTCATCACTAACTCTTCTCTATCGCTAGAAGTGTGGGTAAGCCTTGGCATACCATAAATATCTATATTTGCAGTCTTTCCAGCACAATCTAGAGTCTCAAAGTAATTTCGCAGCCAATCCATACCCAAAATAATTGTAAACCCCTAAAACCTAAAACAATTAAGTCTGCATACAAGACTCTACCTACAGAGTCAATATCAAAATCTTTACACATCTCATAAAAAGTAACTGCCCTCCTAAAGGGGTCTCAACACAAATAGGTCTAGACAAGGAGTAGTTACAATAGTTCTATTTCTACAAACTGTCTAGATATAAAAGAATGAGAGGCACTAGTATCAAAAAGTACTCTAATGGGTTCTTGAAAGAGATTAAAAGTACCTTGCATTTTGTACATTCCTAGCATCACTAACAAATGCCCTGGCTGGAGTTGCTTGACCCTGTCGCACCTGCTGTCTCTGAGGGCAATCCTTGATTACATGCCCCAACTGCTGACACCCAAACACTTCCTATTAATCGGTTGAGGTGCTACTAGTCTGATAGGTGAGGGTCCCTCTAACTGAGATACGGGAGGACGATAACCCAACTGTGGCACCTGTTGCTGCTGTCCTTGATAACCCTGTAGGCGCGGAACCCCTGTCTCTTGATAATAGTGCCCCTGGGGCTGGAAATTGCCCTGAGGCCTGAAATTATCCGCTAAGGTCTAAAATTTCCTTGACTACCTTGCTGCTGTGGCCTCTGAAACTGCTGACCCCTATGCCTTGATCATAGGGTCGGTATTTATCCCATCCCGCTGCTGGAAGTGACTCCCTCTAAAAGTCTCTCCAACCTTGGCCTTCCCTTCGTTAAACTATTTCTCATTTTCCTCATACTTCAATGCCAAGTCAAGAACTCTGTCAAACGGTTCAGCATCAAAGGGAATAAGGGACTTAGATAGGTAATGATTCAATCCCTTAATAAACTTCTCATTCTTCTTCTCCTGCGTGTTGACTAAGTAAGGGGCATAAGGAGACAACTCATTAAACTTGGTGACATACTCGATCACTGTTATACCCTCTTGAGTCAACTTCAAAATTCATCACATAGTTGAGACTGATAGCAGCAGGAACAAACTTCCAGTCAAAATGAGTCTTGAAATCTGCCCAAGTCAAGGTCGTTGAATCTAGACCCTCATTCCCGAGTTCCACCAAAATAGGGCTGCTTCCTAAAGCTGATGTGTCGCCAACTCCTGTTTTTGGACCTAGTGAGCTATATATGACCAAATACCATCTCGCATTTCTGAACCCAAGCATCAGTTGCAATGGGTCCTCCATCTCTAGAGAATTTTGACCTCCAAAGAACCAAAGTCTTTGTTTTTTTTTCGCAAAGGGATCTCCCTGCTGGCCTTGATTATTGTTCTGAACAACTTGAAGTAACTGAGCCATCATCTCCCCCACATTAACCTGCACCGTATTGGTTGCCTCGGTAGCAGTTGTCGTTGCAGTTGCTGCTGCCGCTATGTTAGCAGTAGTTTCTTCCTTTATGGCATTGGGCTCAGTACTTCTCAAATTATACTTTCCAGCCATCACTTTAAGTTAAACACATAGGAAGAATTCGTTCATAAATACTTAGAATAAATTCAACCACCAACGTAAACCAACTAACCCATGTTTCCACAATCCGAGAATGACCTAAACTCTCACAAGTCTAGGATAACCTAGAGCTCTGATACCAAACTGTCACAACCCAAAATTTAGACAATTAAATATTAAATTAGGACTAAACCCCAATCAATATTCCATCATCCAAACCTAGAGGTGAACAAAAACTAAACGCCAAACCAAACCATCCACCATAATCTCATAACTATCCAATACCTCCAATATTAAGAAATAATAAATAGTCAAAATAACTTAAATAATGTACGGTTACAAACCATGTCAAATTATCCCAGTACTAAAGTTATAAAAAAAAAATAATAATACATAGACTAATATCAATCCTAAGCTCAAGAAAATAAAAGAAGTCCAAACGACAACTCCAACAACTATAGTTATTCCATGTCCCCACATAGCCCCAACTAATCCTGCAAAGGAAGTTCGACTGCGCTCAAACAGAATGCACCCGAGTTGCCAAGAGACAAAACAGATCAGTATACAAGTATACTGGCAATGAGTACAAGATTAACTCCCATGTGTCCACCAGACACAACAAAAATACATTTAATTCTTGTTACAGGACAAGACAAACAGTTCCAACCGCACCAAGACAAATGGGTAGGTTCTGGAGATACGGTGGCTTTTAGTTTCTTTGCTAGTACACAACGAAATATAAATTGATTATAAAATTAAAAAAATAGAAATAAAAATATGGTAGGTCAGCTCTACATAAAAAGTTAGTAAGACTCACCATCCTGCAAAAAAAAATAAAGTTAGTATAATTTAATCATAAGTAACTTGCTGAAAAGTATAAAAAATGCACCGTTTTATGCTTAAATAATTCGAATTGACCAAAATTCAAAGAACAAAAGTTGTACATAATCAAATTTCCTAAAAGATAGCGTGGACGAATTTAGTAGAAACTGAATAGGTAAGAGAAATACTTAATAGAAAATCCTAACCAAAATTCGATTGAAAAATCTGGAACTGAAAACGAAAAGAAACTACTGTAAGATGAATTATTTCAAAAAAGTTCAAACACGAAAGTGTTTAGAATAATTTTTTACTTCATTTGCGCAAAACCAATAAAAATGAGCTTGTTTCTTGAGTTAAAACAACCTCTAAAATCTGTATTGCTAAAATGAATCAAAACTACAATTACCAAGATCATCCAATTATAACTTCTAATCGATCTTTATAAAATGTTAAAACACAAAAGTTGTCCAGAATCATGTATACATGCTCTCTGTTCAAATTTCATAATTTATCGAGGTCGTTTTTTATGTTTCAACTTGTACAAGTCAATACAATTCACACTATAACAATAAACTCATAATTAAATTCTTTGTACCTTAAATCCACACTTCGGCCCTTCACTTCTGGCCTACGCATATATCCCACGTGCCTCCCGTATACCTAACACCGCTCCGAAACCAAACTTGCAGGGGATATCGTCTTGAGTTTGACCCACACTCCCGGATGGTTAGCATATACGTACGTGTGTAATCAAAGTACTCGTCTATTCATGAGAACGAGGCAATAATATATGTATACAAAACATCTCACTCATGAGAACAAAAATAACAATGCTACGCCTAAGGCATTCAAATAAATCTCATAATCCTCACTTTTTTTTATACACTCTTTCTCACCAACACTCAATAAAACAACAATCCATGGAGTCATGGTGGAATATAAGGAATTTATCTATGGATTTCCTAATTAATTTTAATTTCATATAACCATGAGTGTGATTACAACCATAAAATAAATCTATATAAAAATCCTAAACCTGGCATACACAACTAATCAAAATAATTAAAATCAATCAATCAACTAAAAACCCTAAACCTTACATACACAACTAAACAAAATAATTAAAATCAATCAACCAATCATCTAAAAATCCTAAACTTTACATTACACAACTAATCAAAATAATTACAATCGATCAATCATCTACATTGCAAATATGAAATCAATTCAACATCAATAAATAAAAATAAATAAATAAAACAACGAATTAAATATAAAATCAAGGAAAGTGGGTTTTGTAACCACAATATTTTTGTGAAGTTTAAAAATAATACTTGGAGAATTAATAGAGCCACCAAAAAAAACCCTAATCTTTTTTATTCTTTTCCTCCACCTCTCATCCTTTTTCCGTCGTTCTATTTCTCTGTCTCTGAATTGATCTCCTCCTCTGGTTGTCTTTTTGATTAATCAATCTCTCTCTCCTCTCTCTCTCTCTCATTCTCTCTCTCTATATCACTCACTCACGGCTTCTTTTTTTTTTTTTTCCTCTCTGTTTGTTTTCTCTTACTTCTAAACCTATTTGACTACTTATATTATATTATATATATAGTAACCTAATTTCTTATTATACGATTGTACCCAAGCTCCCGAGCCGAATAAACACCGGTGATGACGGACATGTGGCCTTCGGCACCGAGTCAGGGTTTCCTAAATTTTCCCATTTTAAAATATTTAGGTGGCGACTCTGTATCTGGCAAAGCAGTCCATGTTTGGCACTACTTTTTCAAAAATCTGTTTCTCAAAACGATTTGCCAGATTTGGACTCTTTGGTTCAGATTAAGAACCGCGACACAAATCGCGAGTCCGAACTGTAGCATGAGGCCCTCACCGGGGCGCGTCTACAATAGTAGTCCAAGAAGATTTAATGATATCAATAAGGCCAGAGTGAGACATCCAGCCAGCCTCAAGTCTAAAAGGCCTCTAAGTAGGATTAAGAATATGCATACCTTGGGTGTATACTAACAGAGGGGAGTGATCTGAGTAGGTGCGAGGAAGGACCCTCACTGTTGCTTCTGGAAACATGGTTCGCCATTCAGGATTACTCAAGGCTCTATCAAGTCTCTCCATAGTATTGGCCAAACCTTGGTGATTGTTAGTCCATGTCATTTTGGACCCCGTGTTACCCAAATCAATTAAGTTACAGTTGTTGATCCTCTCTAAAAACTTCTGTGTTCTTGCAGAGGTTGTGGGTGAGGTGAAGCTTTGACGTTCTCCCTGATTCGCATAGTCGTTGAAGTCCCCAGCGACCAACCAAGGCTTAGACATGGTTGCTGCCACCCCTTCCAAATCATCCCACAGTTTCTCCCTCAGGACAGGGTTTGGATTGGCATAGACGGCAGCAAGGACCCATTCCTCAAAATCTTCTTTATGAATAGTGGCATGAATAGCTTGGGGACTTACCGAAAAGGCTCTTACATTAACATGATTAGTGTCCCAAATGATCCAAATCCCTCATACTCTACCGACAGGGTCAACAAAGGTTGAGGTTGTGAAGCCTAGGCGGTTAAAGAAATTTCCCATGGAGCTAAAAGGCACTTTGGTCTCCATAAGGATGATGATCTCAGGTTTATGAGTACGGATGATCTCCACAAAATTACGTTTGAAGTTGTTATTGCCGGCACCGCGGCAATTCCAGAAAAGAAGTTTTAATAAATCCATAGAAGGGTATCGAGTGCAGAGGACTCTGGTGTTGAGCTGCCTAGTTTGGGGCGATTGTCATTCGGAGTTGTTCTATCCACCAAACGAGAGCGACTAGGTGAGTTGCTTCGCTCCCTGGTTCTAACAATAGGCTCACAGTGTCCTTCTGATTTTGATGTTCGATCACCTCCGAGGGGGAGTCCTTCAGGGTCATGTGATCTGCTTTTTCCATTAATTATTTCACCTGGGTCTGGTTGTTCCGATCTAGATGTATAGGATTAAGAGGGATGGGAGCTGGGTTTGAAACTGGTGAATGAGATAAAGTAGTGGGTGGGTTAACTTCAACCATAGTAGAGTCTTCTGGACTTAGGGTAGTTTCCAATGTATAGATCATGTCAGAGGTGTTCTGCTGAAGTTGGTTCGCAGTGATATGTGTTGTCATCTTGGCTTGATCATGAGAGGTGCCCTCTGCTTGCAGTGCAATGGCATGTGAGGCTAAACTTTCCCCCATTTTCTGCCAGACTACTTGCTGATTGTTACGTGTGTCTAGCTCCTTAGCTCTGTTCTGCTGGAGCCCTTGTTTATGCTTTTCTTTAGAGTCTGTATTTTTTATTGGACCAGTTAAGGGGCTGGGTTCTCTTTGGGCTTTTTCCCCTGCATGTTCAGCAGTCTTCCTACCCTTTTGGGCAGATCCAAGTCCATCTGGGCCCACCTCCAAATACCGAAAGGGATTATTGCTAGTAACTATGCTAGTGGGATTTTGGGCCCTTTTGTGTTGGGCTGGTCTCTTAGGACGCTTAGTCACTAACATCCATGGGCCAAAGTCTTCATCTTCCTCGTGATGCTGGTGCAGGTGACCATTATCGATTGCAGATGGATGGACAGATTTATCAGTACCGGAAATGGCTATATTTTCCACTGCCGGTGGAGCACTGGTGGTTTTGAAACTCCTTACGGTGGTCAATTCTGACACAGAGAAAGCAGAAAGAGTGCAAAGATTCATATTCAATGTTATAAACTATACCCTCTAATAAGAATTTGGGCTTTAGCAGTTTGCTGAGATCCATCTCTACACAAACTCTAGCAAACTTTCCCCGTGTTGCCATTGCAGTATTCCAATCGATTTTAAAGGGTTTATCGATAGTTTTAGCTATCGCAAAAAGAACTTTTTCTTGATAATACTCAATCGGAAGCTTAGGAAACCGAACCCAAACTGCGGTTGTGGTTTCAAATGCTTCTGATGGTCTAAAATTAGGTTCCCAACGTCTCACAGTGAGGTAGTGATCCATGATAACCCAAGGTCCACCTGTGAAGACATTAGCACAGTCAGTCTGGTCTGAAAATTTAAATAGGAAGTAGTTACAACCCAAGTCAATTGCATTAAATTCACCCTGAAGACCCCAGAGATTTCTGACTCTGGAGCAGAGCATTTTGTAGCCAATATTCTTCCCTAGCAGTCGGATAATAAGGGCATTCTCCCATGGTTTCCTAATTTTATCCAGAAGCTTCTTGGGGAGAGATATTGTGGGGAGGCCCTGCTGCTCTGAAGAGGTTCCTTGTATGGTAGTCTGGCCCTTTGGATCTTCATCATCTTCCTTATTAGACGATAGAATATCCACTCTGCTGTAAAAAATGTAGTCGTTGTTATGGACAGAAGTAAGTGCTTCTTTGAAGGACTTAGGAGGAGCAAAACCCATATCTTGGTGTCTTTGTTCTCCAAGATCATCGTTGGGAAGTTCTGTTTCCATATCAGTCGCTTTGGCTTTGCTGCCTTCCGTGACAGAATTTGAGCTTTTGATTTTCTTTGTGCTTCTGATCAGATGATCTTCTTCTTCGGAAGATTTTTCTTGAGTTAGTGATTCACGGTGAACAGTAGAATGGATTGGGGTGGTGTCGAAATTGATGCTTGCATGTTGGTCCATGAGAAGCAAGTACAGAAAAGCCTTTTACTTAAAATTTTATTAGAAAAATGACACTTATCTTTTAACTTACATTATATTCGACAATTTATATTCTATAGCCAAACATCCATATACTTTTCTACACCTCCGCTCCCCTCCCTTCTTGTTTTTTTATTTTTATTTTTTTTATCATAAAATAAAATAAAAAATTATTGATGTAAAAGGATTATAAATAAGAAAAAAATGTATACTATCATATGGAATGTCGGACTTAGCCCTTGTTTGGAAAGAAAAAGTTTGGGACTTTTTGGCTAAAATAGCCATAAAAAAATAAAATAGACTAAAAAATTAATAAGACAAAATATCACATCTAAACCATAATCATTTCATTTTTCTCTCACAAAAGTCAAAAAAGTTAAAAAGTCCATCACAAACGAGACTTTTTAGCTCTAGGCTAAAATAGTCAAAAAGCCAACTCACATCCCAAACGAACCCTTAGTGTTTAAACATTTGTTTACTTCTCCTTGAGTTTAAAAAAGCTTTTTCTATTATGATACTAACTTTTTTTTTATCATTTATTTATTATTTATTTGAATTACACTCAATATGTACCAACTATTAGTACATCAATAAGCCAAGCTAAAAAAATATGCATAATTGTCAATTAAGTATATTCCAACTAGGTGACACATACGATTTCAACCAATCACGTGCAAACACTTAGCGAAACGAGAGACCTTGAAATTAGCAAGATGCCAACATCAAAAGCCCAAAGCAAACTAATGTAGCAAAAATACATAAAGAGAATAAACCAGTAGCAAAAGGGCAAGCAGGAGCAATTGCCCAAAAGGCAGCACCAATATAGCATCAAAATCACCCCTAATCTCATCTGCAGAAAAGAGGCACCAAAATTAATGAAACAAAGGAAGAAAATCCAAAGCACAATAAAAGCCATTGAATCCCCTTCTTTGCCACGTGAATCATATAGCTTTAGGTTAACCAATGACTTGATGGATGATGGCATAAGTACTAGAGATTAGGGGTTTAACTTGAGTAAATATTGAATGGAACAGTAATTCGATTTGTCGTAGGGACTATAACATTGTTAAGTTAATGTGAGATAAAGATTGGGCTTCGCTTCTCTCCCGTCCTAAATCGGACTCGAGAGGTACTGTTGGGTTCATTGGGTTCACTTTTGGGTCCTGTTTTGATGATTCGAACCGATCATATTTTAGAATTCGTTGAGTATATCATTTTTTTTGTAAAAAATCAAATTGATCGGATAAAAGAAACCACATCTCCAGATCAGTTGTATGAAAAAAAAATTGACAGTGAGAAAATAAACGATTCATACAAAATTGATCCAAACACATGATTTTCGTTATTCAATCGACTTGATTTTTTGCAGAGATGATGTATTCGAAGAATCCTAAAATATAAACGATTCGGATTATCGAAACAAGACCTAAAAGTAGACCTAACAAGCCAGACTAGATGGTCCAATACGATAGTGGACTAAAGACAGTCCAATCCCATAACGATTTAACATTTGCCCCTTTTAGTTTTGCATGTGATATTTCCCCTTTTAAAAATGTTAACAACCCATAATAAACCGATCATATTATACCAAAATTGAAAGTATGATATTTAACTAGTTCTAATTAAAATTACGAAAATTAAAGTAAAATGTAATTTACCTCATCCTCATTGGGAAGTATGAATCCTTATATTTGAATTTTAGCTAGTCCTAGTCCTCTCATTTACCCTACTATCATTTAAGTATTGTTCAAATGTTAAAATGACTTTTTTGTTCATAAAATTAAGCTTTAAAAGCTATTAATTTAGATAGTTGTCTTCAATTGGACCACAAAAGTTGACATAAAAAATTCTAATAAATAAATAAATAAATGAAATTGATAACTTGAGGGTGAAATTAAAATAAATAAATAAATAATTTATGGGATAATGGTTAAACAAACTTTTTATTTTTACTTTTTATATTTCCTATTAAAAAATCAATTATATTCCCATGAAACAAGCTTCTGTGAAATTCATTCATGTGGATTGAACGTGCAATTGAGCCCACAGAGCTCATCACAAATCTCATTTCAGTGGTTTAAATAGTTGATTTTATTGTTATTGTGCATAGATCATACAAAAAAACAAGATTGATATAATAATTATAATCATAATTTCTTATTATATTTATTTATTTAAAAATAGATAATTTGTAAATATATTTAGACCTCGTTTGGGAATAAGCAAATTTAGTAATTTTTTGACTTTTTATAAAAAGATGTATAGAAAAATAAAGAAAGTGATGTGATAATTTATAATATCTTTTTAACTTTTTACCTAAAATATATAATTACCAAACAAGGCCTAGAAGTTAAAACCCGCTTGACAACAGCCTCTTTAGTAAAAACAATTGTCAAAGTCATTCAAAAAATCAAAAACTTAAAAGAATTTCAACTCATAAAAAAGTAAAAGATTCTTTCTTATTCATTCTACTTTTTGCATACTTTTTTTTGTAAAAAGATTAAAAAAAATAAAAATTCCAAACATACTTTTACCTCAAATTTTAGTTAAAAAAAGAAAAAAAGAAAAAAACTTCCCAAATAGGTCCTAGTATCCATTCCATGAGTACAAATAGGAAATGTGAGTTGCTTTTTAGTCTTTTGATTTTTTTATTTTTTTTTTTGGCTATTTTAGCCTAAAGTTAAAAAGTCTCGTTTTTGATAAAAATTTTTGATTTTTTTTAACTTTTATGAGAGAAAAGATAAAATAATTATGGGTTGAATGTAATATTTTGTCTTATTTGACTAAAATAATCTATTTTAACTTATATAACTATTTTGGCCCCAACCTTTATCTCAAACTGGCCATAATATAGTTATGCGATTATGATTATTTGATAAATTTAACTTTTTATTTATAACCTATACAGAAGAGTTGACAAAATGAACAAATTTAATTCACTATAATGAAACTCCTAATAGACCTCGTCAGCCCAATTATACCATTCATTCCACAAGAGTGGATTATATAAAGTTGTAGGTTGACAATTGATTTTTAAAGTTGATTTTTTTTGATTATTTTAATTTAGGATTAAAAAGTTCA